AAAGAAAGTTTATTGGAACACAGACAAACTTTTTTGTTTATGTAGTATCCCTGACTGGTTACAATGACTGAGCTGTGTAGTGTAAAAGAACCTGGCTCCTTGAGCCCAGAAAGTTTACTGACTCATCCTTAATAGAAAGTGACTAACTCCAGATGCACATTACTAGCTGCCCCAAGACTGCCAGCTCTTGCAGACATCCCAGCATGTGGCATGTGTGTGGAAACAGTCACACTGGCATGAGCTATGACAACTGTGAACACAACTTTATTTCTCCCCGGGCCTCTGTTTGACCATAAATGGAAATAATACAGCTATATTGTGAGTTTACTATAAATGTATTGTGGGTGCCGGATATGTGTGAGTTCCCTACCTGGTCTCTCTGAGGTCTGTGTAGGATCCTGAAATGCACAGCCTTTTCAACACTCACCTCACAGTGAACCCAAGGTCCTTCATGGTTTGATGCTGTCGGCAGCCTCTCACTTCTCACACCTCAGCTTCTCGGTCAGGTTCTCTTCACTTTCTCAGAGGCACAGTTCCTCCAGGCCCTCGGCCTTTCCCAGGTGTGCCCTCTTCTGGTCCTCTTCTGCTGCTCTTGATCCTCCTGCCTTTTCCGTCTGTAGCCCTCGCTTAGCTCTCTTACCCTCTGGTTCTCATGGTGTCTGTGCGCCTTTGCTCCCTAACCTAGTGGAGTTTGCAGTTTCAGATGCAGATAAAGACCACTTTTGCCTGATTTATTTTCCTGCCAATCTAGATGATTATAGGAGTGCCTGGCTCAGAGTGGACCCTCAAGGTTGTCTATTAAATAGATAGCCTGTTTTCTTTTGATCGGTGGCAACATTAGCATTTAATAAAGAAAGGACTCCTGGTACTGCTAAAAAAAAAAAAAAAAAAAAGTGTCAACATACAATTCACATAATCTGACACCTCGTGTTTCTTTACCTGTTTGAGTCTCAGCTTTTTTCATCTGTAAAATAGGTAAGTATTATGTACCTCCCATATTGATAATTGAATTGTCATAATCAATAAAAAAGATATTAAACCTTGCATGTCTCAGGGCCTCATAATTTTGCGAGCACTAAAGAATGCTTGCTAGTCATTAAGCTATAGCCCCAGTGGTTTTCACTCCTCTCGGTTTCCTATTCTATAAATTGGAAATGAAAATTATACCTGCCTTATGTGATACTCATATGTCAGTCATATAAGATGAGTCTTGTTTGTGAAAATTAATATATTCATTCTTCATTATGGACTTTCCAGAAATGTGCATGCTAAAATAAAGTCCCTTGCAGCTCTCCACCATAGTGTGTACACATACATTCTATTATTACCATTCTGCATTTAAGGACATGCTCTGTTGGAGCAATAGCTTTAGGACTTCTGGAACATTCCAAACACGCATGTAGAAGTTCATCTGGTGAGAACCCCTAATGTTCATCAGCTACAGCAAAGGGATTCATTGTTGATTTTTGTTTATTTGGAGTTGAAACGGGCTTAGCAAATAGCAGTGGCTTCAGCTTTTCTGCTTGTGAAGTTCATTCTTTTAATTATGGACTGTTATCTGTGGCCAGCGTGTGTTTTGCAAATCAAACACACGGAGACATTTGAGAGCTTACATTTGGATGGTCCAACCACCTGCACAGCTGCCAGCTGTTGTCCTGAACTCTGCTGCAGGGGCAGCTGTCTGGGACCTGGGGACCTGGGCTCTATCTGGCGCCTTCACTGCCTCCTTAGATGATCTTTACTTTGTGCAACAGTAAATAGCAACTCTGAGGATTCTCACCCAAAACTTGGAAATGCCTCTCTGTTCCCCTACTTCAGAATCTGCTAGGAGCAGCTCTGAACATTTATAGAGACCTACAATGCAGAAGGGGGAGGTTTGTTGTTGTTGTTGTTGTGGTTGTTTTAATTCTTTGTGCAAAAAAACAGACAGTAAAAAGTTAAAAGCTGCTTTTGCTATTATCATGGAGCAGCAGCTTGTGGTTGTAAAATGAATGAATATGTGAAGCACCATTGAAAATGTGACATGCTTTATAAATGCTAAATAATAATAATGATGTCACAGGGCTTTCATTTTTAAACTGTCTTAATTTCATTCTCAGTTTGAGCTAGCAGATTACAGTAGTTAATTATAGAAATTGGCCCAGAGTGAAACCTTAAATCAGATTTCCATTAAAGTGCATGACTGCAGCAAATTACTCTATAGTGGGAAAGAAGCTGAGAGTTGCAAAGTCTGCTAGGAGGGGATCTTTCGGCCCAAGAGGCACCTTTTTCTGCCAGGGCTCCATAGAACACTGTGTCCTGAGCAGACCCATGTCCTAAGTGAAGCAGCCTGCGTATGTCTGCTGCTGCTCTTCCTATAGAAAAGCTTCCCAGTGGAAGCTGCTGTCAAATCTTGCTGTCATTCAGCTCTGAAAATGGAAGGAATAAGCCAGAGAAGCTGCGATTCTGGCCCTGGCCCTGACTCGGCTACGTTGCCCTGCTTGCCTCGGGTCCAGCTGTTTTTCTGTGAGTTGTGTGGGTGCCCTCTCTGCCTCTGTCCTGATTACATCCTCCTACTTAAGATCCTGGGGCTGAACACTGGCTAAACGTGTTGCTTTCCTCAGCTAAAGGTGGTTCTATGAGGAGAACCTATGTTTAATGTGGGACTCCTGCTGAGCACAGTGAGACACTGTTATGTGAGAGGCTCATGGGACTTGACACCCACTGAGACATTCACAGCTTGTGTGACACCCACTCCGGGGCATTCACCCACTAAGTAGAATTGTCACAGGGTCACAGACATCATCTCTTTCTCACCCCCTCCACTGCTGCCTGTTTCCATAAGTTCACCTACGTTCATGTGAACTGTACCGAACAACCACGTAGTTTCAGATGGAGTAAGCACACTGACTCCCCATAACTCTGGTGAGATGCTGACACGTGAGCTTGTCCTTACATTGTAGAGGTCACAGGTACCAGTCTGTGCTTTACTGGAATGCCCAATTCTTCCTCATAAATGCTAGTGAGTGCCTCTACTGTTCTGTCTCAGACCCCATAGAGGTGTTATTGCTCATGAGTGCTTTTTCTTCTATTGTTCTGGCAAGCTCCCCTCCATCCCACAGTTATCTGGAAAGGACTGCTCTACAAAGCATCAGTGCTAACAGCATTTAATAGTTGTCATTAGAAAGCAGGCTTCTGCTTACCAGTTAGCCTGCTGTGAATGGAAATGGGAGGTTTCTTTCTTGGGAGTAGCCCCAGTCCCTAATAGGCTTGAAAATATTGTTTATTTATTTTATGACTAAGCAGTCACCTTTTTATTAAAGTTAAGTCGCTGTGCTCCTGCTACATATTGGAAAAGTTTTCCTATTCATAGTCTGGGTAGTCTGTCCAATAGTATCATTGCCTGCTGGAAAAATCATGTATAAATATCCATTAAGCATGTACACTAAGAGCAACTTGCTTGATAGTGCACAGGCATCATCTCATTGGCCCCCTTCAGCAGTCTTATGGACGAGGGACTATGACTAGCATCCTACAGATGAGGAAACCGTATTCAAGAGAAGTTGTGTAGCTTAACCATGGTTGTAGCCTCGGCAGCCAGCATGGATGAACAGTAGTAGATGTAGCTGTACCACTGCCGTGTGTTGGCTTTGTGACTTTCCATCCCCATCTCCTTCTCCACTACAGATGGCCAACCTCACTGTGCTAACAGGCGGGGTTCCAGGGGGTATCAGAATAGAAAAATGAGAATTCATGTAATGACACATTCTAGAGTTCAGTGCTATAGAAATGTAATATATTCTTTTCTCCTTTGTTGTCTACAGTTAATTTATCATATGGAACCCATAGGATCTAAAATGGCAAGCCACATATAGATACATGCTTTGCAATTAGTATAGCATAGTTTAATTGCCACTGCATTGTCGTAATTTTGATGCCTCAAGCTTGATGAATAACTATTTTCTGTGGGTGTTATCAATTAATCTACGCAATGAATTATCTTCATTATCTCATTCTTTGTGTTAATTATACAGGATTTTTCTTATACCTATTTATCAAGTTAAGACAAGTACAATATTCTTTTTACCCCATGTGTCTCTGAAGGTAGAATCTGTACAAACAGGTGAACATGATAGGTTTAAATTTACATTTCTGAAAAGTTCCTGTTAGCAACTCGGCTCTTTTTATAATGGTGGTATAGAGCTCTCTGTCTCTGTCTCTCTGTCTCTCTGTTTCTCTCTCTCTCTCTCTTGTGTTTTTTTAATCAAAAAGGTTGTTATCTAAGATAGTTAAATTATGTCTGGATTTTGAGAATATGCCTCCAGCATATTAAAAGGCTATTAAGAAGCATGGTTGGAGTCTTTACCTATTAATGCAGACAACGCATACTAAGTTTCAAGTTTAAAACTGTTGTGTGAGGCACAAGAACAAATTTAAGTACACATCATAAAGAACAGAAAAATAAATACATATATTTTTGCTTGTTTGGTTGGTTTTTGTTTTTTGAGACAGGGTTTCTCTGTGTAGCTTTGGAGCCTGTCCTGGAACTTACTCTGTAGATCAGGCTGGCCTCGAACTCACAGAGATCCACCTGCCTCTGCCTCCCGAGTGCTTGGATTAAAGGCATGCACCACCACTGCCCGGCTTAAATACATGAATTTTTTAATGATAATTTTCATTTGAAAAAATAATAAACTAGTTCCAAAAACAGTATTTAAGAAACTTAGAGGGCAGCATATAATAAATGGAGAAATGAACAAAAATTGGATTCATTTTGGGAATCTGTCTCAGTTCATGAGACTGGGTGGTAATGTGGGTTAATAATGTTATATATTGTTATTTATTCATTACTAAAGCTTAATTGTTGTGACATTCCTGCCTGTTTTTAGTATTTCTTGCTCTGCGTAAAAAGTAATAGAAATTAAGAAGCCGTATTTAGCTGTCTCAGCTGTTATTTAACCGGTTGGTTTGAGGATGTTGTCTGCCCAATTCTGATGACACCTTCCTGTTTGAAATTTCAGGTGGAAGCCATCCTTGTCAATATCTTTGGTGGGATCGTCAACTGTGCCATCATTGCCAATGGGATCACCAAAGCCTGCCGGGAGCTGGAACTCAAGGTTCCACTGGTAGTCCGGCTTGAAGGTGGGTCACAGGGGTTTCCAGCACTAGTGTCCCTTCCACAGGGATGTGTCCAGCATGCTCTAGACCCACAAACGTCCTAGAGTGACAGGAAACTGGGTAATGAGAGGCAGCAGACACAGGATGCCCAGACTTCTCTGGGAACCCAGCAGTGAGTGAGCTGCAGTTTCTTAGACACTCACTGTGGGCTTAGTTCGGTCCAGATTTGCTGATTCCACAGCTAAAGCCCTTGTATTACAGACTCCACTGTACACATACCAGCATATGTGCTCTCTTTTCCCCTACATACGATCCTATGGTAGGATCAGTTAATAAAGTAGGCACAGTAAGAAATTAACAATAGCTAGACATAAAATAGAAAGTTGCAAAATTAAAATGAAGTAGGTTTTGACTGGGTGGTAGTGCTGGTGCACACCTGAAATCCCAGCACTCGGGAGGCAGAAGCATGTAAACTTCTGTGAGTTCGAGGCCAGCCTGGTCTACAGAGCAAGTTCCAAGACAGCTGGACTACACAGAGAAACCCTGTCTCAAAAAATCAAAAATAAACAAATAAATAAATAGAAAGATTAAGTGACTTTAGTTTCTTTTCTCTCAAAAGAGTCAAGACAATATTTTCATGACTGAATGACTATAAGAAACTGATGCTGTAGGAGGGGAAACCAAGATCAAGGGAGATGATATACGTATGCGTGCATATTTGTATATAGAGTATCTTTGTAAGCATAGCTTTTAAATCTTTAACAAGACCGGTGGTGGCGTTTTACAGCTCCCTTACCTATCTACCTTAATGTGTGTGTCTGTATTCACTCCTGTAAGATTTTGTCTTAAGAAGGTCTAGCCTCAATGACATGCATTTGGACATAGGAGGAAATGCCTTGGTTTTTGTTTTGTTTTGTTTTTAAAATGGGGTCTCCCTACATGTCCAGGCTAGACTTGAACTTGCTGTGTGACCCAGGCTAATGGAGAATTCATAATCCCCACACTAGGACTGCAGATGCACAGCACCACACCCAGCGGAGGTGTTGAGTCCTCTCCATGTAGCTGTGAGTTTCTTCCTTGGTACTGCACTAAGTCTCAGCCAGTTTCCTTACTGAAGGTGCTCTGGTCTGAAACAGGAAGGTGGCTCAAGGAAGTTCTCAGACCCTGCTAGCCTCGGGCTAAGTTGATTTCACCCATGCACGTGGTGTAACCTCGTGCTCTAATAATTATTTCAGTTATGCATACATTCCAAAGGTTAACACATTTCAAAATACAATACCCCAAAATCCATGTTTGTTACTATGAACACCAGCTCCTATGAGGACAACTTTTGAAGTACTGGGACGCTACCAGGTTCACAGTTGCAGATACAAATTTTCAAGAGTTTGAATTTCCCATTTAAAATACAAATTTTATCAACTACAAAATAATTTGTTGTCCTTTACATGACAAATCCACTTCACTCGTATTTGAGAAAATATCTCGAAATAACCAAGCCAGATTAGCATAGTGTGCTGATTGGTCTTTGAAGGAATTACGGTGTTTCATGGGAGTGTGAACCACTCAGGCCCATGCTTGTGTGCAGAGTGCATCTCCTTAGAGACCGCCACCATAGTTAATCAAGTAGCTTAGCCCAATGCTCAGGTGCAGAAGTGTTTCCTGTAAATGTCCTGTTTGATTGAGTAGGGTATCAAAAAGTGCTCAAGGGCCAAGGCTTAATAAAGTTAATATTATTTTTACCACCTGTCACTTGAAACATGGTTTTTATGGTGAGTGTGTAGTGGGATATCAGTGACCACTAGTTCAGTGTGGCCTTTGCCTTCCTATCATGCTCATGAATCTGCAGCTTCACCCACCATCACATGACTGTCCTGGTAACCTCATCCTCACCCAAGTCAATCAATCTTACTGTCATTTGTGACTACCACTATGTGACAGTCAGTTTAGCATAGAGAACCTTCCCATCTCTGAGAAGCATTTTAACAGGAAAACTCCAGAAAGCCATCCACATTGCCATTGCATTCTGGTTGTAAAATTGAGCAGCCCCAGTGAGTGGATTTCTTCAGTACCACCTTAGGGAAAGCCCAGGTTTCCCAGGCTCTGCTGGCTTCTAGAGACGAAGTCTGCCAGTAGTTGGACAGCACTGCATGCCCCACCCCAATGGAGAGTCCAGAAGAGCCGTAGCCTACTGTCTGTCTCTTCTCTCTCCCCTCTCTCTTTCTGCCGCACAGCTTTTTCCTCACCTGAAACTGCCTGCTTTGTGACCCAAGAGCAGGACAGCATGGACTTGATAGAAACCATGATTGCAGGGAGAAAGTAGGGTGGCAGAAACTCCAGGAAGCAAAGTTCAGTGCAGACACTAGAACATTCCATGGAATTAACTCATTGTAGAAGTACAGAGACAGCATAATTGATTTCTATAAAACTAACAAAAGCCAGTGATTGGTGACACGACAATGCAGAAAGCTGGCCAAGGAGTTAATGGGGTCCTCAGCATTGGTTATAATTCTGATTAAAATGTTGATGTCAAACTGTTTTTAGATTCAAAGTGACCCTTGCCCCTCATGTTGTAAAAGCCAACTCATGAGCTTGTTTGTGTTCATGGGAGAGGGAGGAGATCTCTCCAAGCAAATCATATTAGTATCTGACACTTGGAAATAGAAGTATTCTTGCAGTGGACTTGCTTTCTCCCAGCTATCCTTGTTGAGACCATAAGTATGATTATGTAAATAATTATTATTTACATGTTGCCAGAAAAGAAATTGCTTCTTTTTAAATTTTCTTTGAAAATTGAAAGCAGGCTGCAGTAATAACTCAGCTAGTATACACCCCAAACCCGAGTTTGATTCTCCGGACCCACACTTAGAATCTCAGCCCTGAGAAAGTGAAGGCAGGAGAATCCTGACCAGTCTACTCAGCCAACTTCATGGGTTCCAGGCCCATGAAGAAACCCTGTCTCAAACAATAAGGCCAACAGGACCTGTGGAACAACAACAGCCAAGGTTTTCCTCTGGTCTCAACCTTCACACACACACACACACACACACACACACACACACACACACACACACACACACACGTACCCCCAGACACCTGCACCTGCACACACATGAGCATACATGTGCATACACAAATTGAAACTAGCCCTTATTTTCACACTGTGTTTGTTATTCCAGAAGTATTCAGGGATCCATGGTACCTGAGGCATGTATATATAGAAATATGCACCACAACACACCCAAGATTATCTCCCTAAACAGTCTCTGATGTTTGTGTAAACGTCTGTTTGAGATAAGAGAGAAAAGCTTTGAAATTCCTAAGCTTGTTAGACAATCAGATTTGCATCTTTTAAGTAAGTATTCTTCTAAAGTCTGTGCCTGTGTTTTTTTAATTAGTTAATTAGTTTCTAAGAAGTGCCATGCACAGGTCGTAGAGCTTTAAACATCAAGGAGGATGAGTAGAAATGTAAAAGGTTAACATGAGAAATGAAATAGAAAAATGATAGGACAAGGCAATACAGTAAACATTACTAAGGGTTTGCCCTTGGAGAACCTGTTCCTGTCTTTCTCTCAGTTTCTTGGGGGCTGCAGACAGCCCTGGGTCACCAAAAGTTCGGAAGCACTAATGGTATCATAATGTCTGTGTCCTGGAAACTAAAAGTGATGCCTCAAGACAAGCTCCGAGCAAACCCTGTCTCCCCAGACTGACAAGGCCAGGGCCGTCCCTGGGGACTTTAGCCACTATCCTTACTATACTCTGGTTTCTCTTCTGTCACAAGCACCTTTCACCAAGAGGGAAGAAGCTGGTGAATTCAGTGTTTCTGGAGTCCTAGTAAGTTTTTTCTACTTCCACTGTACAAATTGGCATCTTATATGATCAGTGTTCTTGGAGAGATGTAGGCTTTCACACCAACACAACAGAACCCAGAGCATGTGCAATCTCAGAGACTAACAGCCCAACACCAAGACAAGACCCTCCCCAAACTGAGTGGTTAGCACACAGTAAACACAGGGACATAAGGAGTTGTGCTCTGACTGTGATCCGAGCTCTGACCATTGATAACAAAATGCAGAATTTGGAGAAGATACAAGTCAGAAAGCCCCCTAAACTGGCTGGTTTTGTGTATCAACTTGACACAAGCTAGAGTCATCAGAGGAAGGAGCCTCAGTTGAGGAAATGCCTCCATGAGATCCAGCTGTAAAGCATTTTCTCAATTAGTGATCAGTGGTGGAGGGCCCAGCCCATGGTGAGTGGTGCCATCTCTGGGCTGATGGTTCTGGGTTCTGTAAGAAAGCAGGCTGAGCAAGCCAAGGGAAGTAAGCCATTAAGTAGCACTCTCCATGGTCTCTACATCAGCTCCTTCCTCCAGAATCCTGCCCTTTTGAGTTCCTGTCCTGGCTTCCTTCAGTGGTGAACAGCCATATGGAAATGTAGGCTGAATAAACCCTTTCATCCCCAACTTGTAAAAGGAGTTTTCCTGTCCTGACCAGCCACTCCTCGTCCTGGCAGCTGCTTCTCTTACACAGAGACTTAATATTAGTTATAAATACTCAGTTGATAGCTCAGGCTTGTTACTAGCTAACTCTTATATTTAAATTAACCCATATTTCTAGTTATGCTTTACCATGTGGCTCATGGCTTGTTAGCTAATTTTCTACACATCCTGCTTGCTCCATGGCTGGCTGGCCTCTCTCTTGATTCCACCCTCCTTCTTCCCATCATTCTCAGTTTGGCTTGCCTGCCTGCCTGACTGCCTGCCTAGCTACTGGCTTGTCAGCTCTTTATTAACCAATGAGCATAATCCACAGCACCAACTTGCTTTATGATCATGATGTTTCATCTCAGCAATAGAAACCCTAACTAAGACAACCCTATAATAAAACTAAAGCAAACTAGACCAGTGCTATGTCAGCTAAGGAAACACAGATTCCTGTAAAGCATCTATCTCTTGAACTGGGTGCTTGTGTCTCAACCACTTTCATCATTATGCTCCTCATTTGATTTTTAATTTGACTTTTAATCTA